AATTGCAAAAAACCAGCAGCTGCTCACTCCCAAACACAAGGCGCTGTCTATGTTCTTGCTTCCCGAGCAACTCAGCGCAGCCCTTCTTCTCTGCATCTCGGAAGCTCAGGGCACGAACAAGAATTCTCCAGATTCGTCTGCATCAGGACCAAGTCAAAACGCAGGAAAGTCGTCCTGGAGCACCTGCCAGAAGCATGCCAGAGATGAACTGAAAGGGCTGGCAGCTGCAGCCACCGTCCTCTAGCAGTGCCAAGGCTGCGCACACAAGCCGGTTTCGTTCTTCGCCTCTCAGAAGCCAACCGCTCTCCCCGGCTGCCGGAGGCGAAGAAGCGGCTACTAGGTGCACCGCTGACGTGAACCGCACTTGTAGGCTGCAAAGCGCGGCTTCGGCAGAAAGAAGCCGGCAACCGCCGCTTCCCTGCGGACAGCTGCGGAGAGCCGGAGTCTGCGTCTCTATCAGAGTGCATCATAGCGAAAAGCTTTTCCAGCGTGTCTCGCAGGGAGAAAGCTTGCCAGCACAGTGCACGCATCCCGCCCTTGCCCAGAAACATATATTTGCTGAACACTCCAAAAACACTACTCTTTCCTAGGCAAGCTTCAAACTGCTGTCAGACATCTGTGCTCTCTGTTTTCTGCTGTCCTGCTCGTTGTAGAAGAGTGCACAGCTCCACCTGACATTCAGTGCACAGCGAAGTCAACTGCAAAAAACCAGCAGCTGCTCACTCCCAAACCCAAGGCGCTGTCTATGTCCTTGCTTCCCGAGCAACTCAGCACAGCCCTTCTTCTCTGCAGCTGCCATCGAGTTGTCTGCAACTCGGAAGCTCAGGGAACGAACAAGAATTCTCCAGATTCGTCTGCATCAGGACCAAGTCAAAACGCAGGAAAGTCGTCCTGGAGCACCTGCCAGAAGCATGCCAGAGGTGAACTGAAAGGGCTGGCAGCTGCAGCCACCGTCCTCTAGCAGTGCCAAGGCTGCGCACACAAGCCGGTTTCGTTCTTCGCCTCTCAGAAGCCAACCGCTCTCCCCGGCTGCCGGAGGCGAAGAAGCGGCTACTAGGTGCACCGCTGACGTGAACCGCACTTGTAGGCTGCAAAGCGCGGCTTCGGCAGAAAGACGCCGGCAACCGCCGCTTCCCTGCGGACAGCTGCCGAGAGCCGAAGTCTGCGTCTCTAGCGGACTGCATCATAGCGAAAAGCTTTTCCAGCGTGTCTCGCAGGGAGAAAGCTTGCCAGCACAGTGCACGCATCCCGCCCTTGCCCAGAAACATGGATCTGCTGAACACTCCAAAAACACTACTCTGTCCTAGGCAAGCTTCAAACTGCTGTCAGACGTGCGTGCTCTCTGTTTTCTGCTGTCCTGCTCGTTGTAGAGGAGTGCACAGCTCACCCTGGCATTCAGTGCACAGCGAAGTCAATTGCAAAAAACCAGCAGCTGCTCACTCCCAAACACAAGGCGCTGTCTATGTCCTTGCTTCCCGAGCAACTCAGCACAGCCCTTCTTCTCTGCATCTCGGAAGCTCAGGGCACGAACAAGAATTCTCCAGATTCGTCTGCATCAGGACCAAGTCAAAACGCAGGAAAGTCGTCCTGGAGCACCTGCCAGAAGCATGCCAGAGGTGAACTGAAAGGGCTGGCAGCTGCAGCCACCGTCCTCTAGCAGTGCCAAGGCTGCGCACACAAGCCGGTTTCGTTCTTCGCCTCTCAGAAGCCAACCGCTCTCCCCGGCTGCCGGAGGCGAAGAAGCGGCTACTAGGTGCACCGCTGACGTGAACCGCACTTGTAGGCTGCAAAGCGCGGCTTCGGCAGAAAGACGCCGGCAACCGCCGCTTCCCTGCGGACAGCTGCGGAGAGCCGAAGTCTGCGTCTCAAGCGGACTGCATCATAGCGAAAAGCTTTTCCAGCGTGTCTCGCAGGGAGAAAGCTTGCCAGCACAGTGCACGCATCCCGCCCTTGCCCAGAAACATATATTTGCTGAACACTCCAAAAACACTACTCTTTCCTAGGCAAGCTTCAAACTGCTGTCAGACATCTGTGCTCTCTGTTTTCTGCTGCCCTGCTCGTTGTAGAAGAGTGCACAGCTCCACCTGACATTCAGTGCACAGCGAAGTCAACTGCAAAAAACCAGCAGCTGCTCACTCCCAAACACAAGGCGCTGTCTATGTCCTTGCTTCCCGAGCAACTCAGCACAGCCCTTCTTCTCTGCAGCTGCCATCGAGTTCTCTGCAACTCGGAAGCTCAGGGAACGAACAAGAATTCTCCAGATTCGTCTGCATCAGGACCAAGTCAAAACGCAGGAAAGTCGTCCTGGAGCACCTGCCAGAATCATGCCAGCGGTGAACTGAAAGGGCTGGCAGCTGCAACCACCGTCCTCTAGCAGTGCCAAGGCAGCGCATACAAGCCGGTTTCGTTCTTCGCCTCTCAGAAGCCAACCGCTCTCCCCGGCTGCCGGAGGCGAAGAAGCGGCTACTAGGTGCACCGCTGACGTGAACCGCACTTGTAGGCTGCAAAGCGGGGCTTCGGCAGAAAGACGCCGGCAACCGCCGCTTCCCTGCGGACAGCTGCCGAGAGCCGGAGTCTGCGTCTCTAGCGGACTGCATCATAGCGAAAAGCTTTTCCAGCGTGTCTCGCAGGGAGAAAGCTTGCCAGCACAGTGCACGCATCCCGCCCTTGCCCAGAAACATATATTTGCTGAACACTCCAAAAACACTACTCTTTCCTAGGCAAGCTTCAAACTGCTGTCAGACGTGCGTGCTCTCTGTTTTCTGCTGCCCTGCTCGTTGTAGAGGAGTGCACAGCTCCACCTGACATTCAGTGCACAGCGAAGTCAATTGCAAAAAACCAGCAGCTGCTCACTCCCAAACACAAGGCGCTGTCTATGTCCTTGCTTCCCGAGCAACTCAGCACAGCCCTTTTTTCTGCATCTCGGAAGCTCAGGGCACGAACAAGAATTCTCCAGATTCGTCTGCATCAGGACCAAGTCAAAACGCAGGAAAGTCGTCCTGGAGCACCTGCCAGAAGCATGCCAGAGGTGAACTGAAAGGGCTGGCAGCTGCAGCCACCGTCCTCTAGCAGTGCCAAGGCTGCGCACACAAGCCGGTTTCGTTCTTCGCCTCTCAGAAGCCAACCGCTCTCCCCGGCTGCCGGAGGCGAAGAAGCGGCTACTAGGTGCACCGCTGACGTGAACCGCACTTGTAGGCTGCAAAGCGCGGCTTCGGCAGAAAGACGCCGGCAACCGCCGCTTCCCTGCGGACAGCTGCGGAGAGCCGAAGTCTGCGTCTCAAGCGGACTGCATCATAGCGAAAAGCTTTTCCAGCGTGTCTCGCAGGGAGAAAGCTTGCCAGCACAGTGCACGCATCCCGCCCTTGCCCAGAAACATATATTTGCTGAACACTCCAAAAACACTACTCTTTCCTAGGCAAGCTTCAAACTGCTGTCAGACATCTGTGCTCTCTGTTTTCTGCTGCCCTGCTCGTTGTAGAGGAGTGCACAGCTCCACCTGACATTCAGTGCACAGCGAAGTCAACTGCAAAAAACCAGCAGCTGCTCACTCCCAAACACAAGGCGCTGTCTATGTCCTTGCTTCCCGAGCAACTCAGCACAGCCCTTCTTCTCTGCAGCTGCCATCGAGTTCTCTGCAACTCGGAAGCTCAGGGTACGAACAAGAATTCTCCAGATTCGTCTGCATCAGGACCAAGTCAAAACGCAGGAAAGTCGTCCTGGAGCACCTGCCAGAAGCATGCCAGCGGTGAACTGAAAGGGCTGGCAGCTGCAGCCACCGTCCTCTAGCAGTGCCAAGGCTGCGCACACAAGCCGGTTTCGTTCTTCGCCTCTCAGAAGCCAACCGCTCTCCCCGGCTGCCGGAGGCGAAGAAGCGGCTACTAGGTGCACCGCTGACGTGAACCGCACTTGTAGGCTGCAAAGCGCGGCTTCGGCAGAAAGACGCCGGCAACCGCCGCTTCCCTGCGGACAGCTGCGGAGAGCCGGAGTCTGCGTCTCTAGCGGACTGCATCATAGCGAAAAGCTTTTCAGCGTGTCTCGCAGGAGAGAGCTTCCAGCACACTGCACGCATCCCGCCCTTGCCAGAAACATATATTTGCTGAACACTCTAAAAACACTACTCTTTCCTAGGCAAGCT